TATTAAAATTATTAAAAATATATTAACATTATTAAAATTATTAACATTAAAAATATATTAACATTATTAAAAATAATTTATTTAAATAGTTTTGGAGAGGTGGTTGGTGCACGTGGCTTTCAAGTTGAATTGCAAAATTTGCAATTTGAATCCTACATGGCAGCAATTGTCTGACAAAAATGGTTTTGCAATTCAATTTGCAAGCCCCTATGTGGGTGCTCTCAGGACGCTACGTTATGGAGAAAGGCAGGGCTTTTATACATGTATCTATTTTTAACTAAAAAACAAAAACTTAAATATATTTAACAGAAACATCAACCAATGTTTTTTTTTTAGTATATAATATTTATGTACGACAAGACAAATGCATCAAATAAACTCATACATTTTTCTCACTTATGGTGAGATTTAAACCCCTGACCTCCTAGAAGGTCAAGGGCTACAACACCACTAGGCCAAAGGCACTTTGATACCAACAACCAATGTTTCCTAGCAAGTTTAGAATGAAGTAAAGGAGTGGTGGGTTATGAAAATCGACCATAAGTGCCACTGGTGAGCAAGGAGGCATGTTAACAAAATGAACAAGGCTTAGATTAAAAGTAGCTTCCTAGGCATGTTTGTTGGAAAATTGGATCTCAATCATTGCGGAAAATAAAACTATAACCCTCTAAGAACTCATACGAACTGGAATAAGCTGGGTGTTTCGAAATTATATCTCAGAGTTAGAGGAACTTTGAATCATAGCAACAAACAAGACTTGATATCTCCATGACATCCATGCAAACAATCTGAATCATTTTACCTTCTCGTGATGTTAGTCATGGTTTCAAAACTTAAAAAGAAAATGAAGCATAAGTTGTAGGTGATTTCTAGAGAGAAAATTGCAAAAGCAACTTACTTGTATATATGGCATACATATAAGAGTGACCAAATACCATCACTCTTCTTTTGAAGATCATTCTTAGTCAACCAATTTATGTCCAATATAAATAATATCTTATTTTTATTTGATCGGATTAAATATATAAAAATCAGATGTAATAATTAAATATTTTTATTATCGAAACTTTTTATTTATGTTGGTAATAAATCTAAATATAAATCTAAATAAAAATTTTTGATTGATAAGAGGAGTTTTAATAATTAAAATATTTATTATTATATGTGATTTGTATTGATTATTAATATTAAAATATAATCTAGACATAATAAAATAAACAATATATTTATTTATTTTATTAATTTTACGAAACAAAACTCAAAATTATAATCAAATAATTGATTGTTGAAGGAACCAGAGAATAACTCTTTATAGGGTCCCTACAAAAATATGATATCAAAGAAGTGTAAATCAAGTTAGACCATCCACATCCCTCCAATCCATTTACACTTTCAATTATATCACATCAGCTTTTACAATTATCTTCCACACACCTGTAATTCACCTACAACATTTTCAACTGTGCCACGTCACCTACACTTTCAAAAGTGGTCCCCACTACAACATTTATTAACTATTTTATAAATTATTTATATATACATT